GTTTGATGGCAACTAACAACCCCCAGAAAATATGGATGAGAAAATTGGACATTGAATAGGGAAGACCGTAGAAGAAGGGATGCGTTTGAATTGTGGTGCTGACAAAGCATGTTGAAAGTACCACAGACTGCTAAAAGGACAAACCAATCTGGATTGGAAGAAGTAAGGCCAGCGTGCTCCATCGAGGCAAGGGTGGCAAGAATTTGTCTCAAAAACTTTGGACATGTGGTCAGGAGAGACCAGTCCCTGGAGAAGGACATCACGTTTGGTAAAGTGGAGGGGCAGCAGAGAGGAAGGCCCTCAACAAGATGATGGACACAGTAGCTACAGCAGTGGGCTCAGGCACAAGAACAACTGTGAGGATGGCGCCAGGCCAGCAGTGTTCCCTTCGGTTGTGTGTATGGTCGCTGAGTCGGAACCCGCTGGATGGGACCTAACAACTGTGGAACCACGAGTCCCTGGGTGGCATAAATCGTTAAGTGCTCAGCTACAACAGAAAAGCTGGGGGGTTCAAATCATATCATTGAGAATGAGGGGCAGTGCAGAGTGGAAGCAGACCTAAAGCCCATCTGTAAACAACTGGACATCCCCTTACTGAAGGGTCTCGGGGAGGAGATGAGCCCGTCAGAGTGCAGTGTAGCAACAATGAAACATACAACTGTCCTCTAGTTCTTAAATGCTGCCCTCCCACCGAAGGCTCGAACCTCAAGCCTTTTGGTTAATAGCTCAGTGCTTAGGCCCCTGCGGCACTCAAAAGCATGCAATAAGTCTGCGGCGTTATTTTCCGAGTTTGGGAAGGCGAGGCTTTCCTTTCCCTTGAAGGTAATTTTCTCACATGCACATAGGGTTGCAAATAACTCCTGGCCCCGGGCGATGGAAGGCCGGCAGTTCACCCAGGTGCAGGGCCCGGCGGCCACTTGCCTGTTCTCCATGCACAGGGCGTCCACGTCGATGATGCGGTTCTCGTGACCGCCCAGGATGTGGTTGAGCTCCTGGTTCAGCCTCTCCACCTTGTCCTGGTAGGAAGCCCGCTCTCCTTTCACGTCCTGCAGCTCGTCCACAGAGGCCTGCAAGTCATGCTCCAAGGATTCGATCTGAAACCAAAGGAGACCCCTCACTCACTAAGAGCCCCTCGGGATGGGAGGCTT